TTACTTATAATATCGCAAATATATATGTGTGTGTATGTGTATATATATATGTGTGTGTGTGTATATATAGGGGATGGTTCAAATACAAAGAGTTCTTCCCATGCAAAGTGAGAATAAATCTTGTGCATTCATTTCCACATCTAATGGCTCAAAATGAGCCAAAAATGCACAAAATTCGGCCAAAAACGCGGTGGCACTTTCGTAAATATGTTGCACTTTTTCGCAACCACGAAAAAGTGAAACAGAAACATGAAAAAGTGCAAGCGAAACATGCAAAAGTGCATATCTTCGCACTTTGCACGGGAAGAGGTCTTTTTATTTGAACTCTTCCCTATATATACATATATTAATATGTAGTAAGTCATACTACGTATATGTTTACTTATAATATCACGCGCGCGCGCGCGCGCACACACACACACACAGGTATAGAGTCCTTTTCTTGTCCAGCCGGCCTGACGGGAATCGCCGTCCCGCCGAGGACATTTTGGGCACTTCCAAATTATGATGAAATTTTTTGAGCATGTTCTTAATGAAGTCTAGTTTATCCATACCAAATTTCAGCTAAAAATTCAATCGGGAAGGCACTCAAATAGTTTCTTGAAGTTAACTGGGCAGTTTATATGTATGAACTGCCCAGTTAACTTCAAGAAATTATTTGAGTGCCTTCCCGATTGAATTTTTAGCTGAAATTTGGTATGGATAAACTAGACTTCATGAAGAATATGCTCAAAAACTTTCATCAAAACATTCCATAGGGAAGTGCCCGAAATGCCCTCGTCCGGACGGCGGTTCCCGTCAGGCCGGCTGGACATGAAAAGTTGTCTGTATATATATATATACATACATACATACATACATACATACATATATATATATATATATATATATGTATGTATGTATGTATGTATATAGATTTAGGATTAGGTGAGAACTTAATCTTAGGAGAGTAAAAAAGAATAGATATCAACCATTGGATTAACCATGTTTTTTAAACTACCGTGCACATGTCTAAAAGGCCTTTTGGTCATTTCATCAATGCATTAATTAGCCTTAAAACTAAGCTCCAAAATTGGTGGCACTACTTTATCCATTTGGTAATTGGTAGTACCGTAGTACATTAATTATTTCCTTTTCAATTATATTTATTAATTATTTCTTTCTCTTATTTTGTGTTTTGTGTACTTCAATTTTTTGATTTTTTGATGTGTCATTATATTATTTTTAATTTTCTTCAACGTTATGGAACTACTATCTTTTTGCCTAATAGAATGCTCTTTAGTAAGTACCCAGTAGTAATTTTTTAAAATATATTATTTTACTTTGTGGCAATATATATTTTTGAAATATTTATGTGCTTCAACTCTTTAATTATATTAAAAAGTATATATAAAAGTGCACTAAACTAAACAGTTAAAGTGCATGGTATTGAGTTTTTTATTATGCACTTTTAAAGTGTACAATGTGCACGGTGTATCATTTTTAGTGCAACTTAAAAGTTCAAAAATGTAACATTCAAAATAAAGTGCACACTATTTAAATAAAATTTTGTCCGCTTAATATATAAAATATTATAGGAACTATAAAAGTTCATTTAAAATTATTTCACTCGTAAGTGCATAAGATAACTAAAAATGCAACTACTTAATAAATAATTATATCATCTATAATGCACTTATACATACACATGTTGCACATATCCACTCAATAAATAAAATATCACAGGGACTATAAAGTTCATATTTAAATATTTTGCTCCTAAGTGCATAATAGATTAACTAAAAAGTGCAACTACGTGATAAATAAGTACATGCTCATCTAAATTGCACTTATAATGTTCATTTTTAAATATGTTACCCGTAAGTGCATAATAGATTAACTAAGAAGTGCAACTACGTAATAAAGAAGTACATGTTCATCTAAATTGCACTTGTGCGTGCATATAGTGCACATAATTTAGAATATTTAAAATGAGTTGATATGCATAAAGTCTCAAATAAAGTGCATCTATTCAATGTTGGAATGCAAAGCATAAATTAATGTTGATTCCATTAATGAATATTACATTTGAAAATTGATAAATAAATTATAAAAGAGTTTCTATTCAAAATAATTATCTAAAATGATACTACGTATGTTATCCTAAATTTGAAAATAAATTCAAATAGGAGAAAGTATATATTATAATAAATAATCTTAGCTATGAGAGAGGTTACTTTTTACGAATTATTAGGAAGACTTCCTATTATGGCGCATCATGCGTGATATCCTCCATGAACAATTTTACCATGATGCCCACAATAAATATTAGGTTCAATTGAATCCGTTTTAGACGGTGATTCCACCGTAAATCATGGATATCTCTGACCTAATTTTCGAAGCTTTTTGGCCACAGGATTGAGATTACCAAAGGTTGGATTTTGTTCTTTTTTCCTCTCCTAAGAGGGTGTTCTCACAGGAACTAACCCCTATATGTATATGTATATACATATACATATATGTATATGTATATACATATACATATACATATATGTATATATATACATATATATATATACATATATTAATTAATTAAAAGTTTTGATGGAATTTGAGATTAAACAATACTTTTCTTAAAATCAATGTTGGTCAGTTAGCAAGTGCCATGTAGCAAAATTATGGAATTTTTGTGATTGTTTTTACTTTTTAAAATTGAATTTTAAAGCGATTTTAAAGAAAATGCCAAATGATAAAAGTTTTTAGTGTTTGAGAAAAAATATATCTTTATAAATATAAAAGTTCATAAAGTTTAAAACACTTCAAATCACCTCTCTATTTGCTTCCAGGTTTAACTTTCAGTTTTTTAAGTCAAAAGTGGAAAAGTTGTTTAATTTTTTTTACAAACATTGCCTAACATTGCAACGATTTAGTTCGATTTGTTGTAATAAAACTGGACATTTAATTTATTGAAATCAGCAACATGAATAGCCCATTAATTGATGTTTTTTGCATCAACCATGCTTGATGAACCCACGATGTTTTTATTTGGACTGTAATTTATCCCAGATCAGACCAGACCAGATCAGACCAGACTTGGATAGTTATAAAAATACAAAGAAACCAGACCAGACCAGACCAGTTCAGACCAGACCAGACCAACAAATTACAGTCCAAATAAAACATCCAACTCTTATACCCACCTTATACCCATCATGGTTGTGAAGGGTTTTCAATATTTCGTCTGTGAACCCACCATATTTTCTCTATTTTTTTAGATTAGGTTTTATTGAATTTAGAGTTTGTGAGCATTAAATATGAACATTGAACAATGACAGTGAACAATACAACAAGAGTTGAGTATGTGCAATGAATATACATGGTAATAGATATGTTGTACAAGGCAGTGAATGAATGCATTAAAAAAATTTGTGTGCAGTATTGCAATAACACAGAGTAGTAATATCATCATAAAATGCAATATACTTAATTAGATGTAAAAAATAAGTTTATTTAATCTTGAAACAAAAAAAAAACAAAAACTAAATAAATTCCTCAAGTTAATGAGAAAAGAAATAATTTTGACGGAAGTGCAGTGATAATTACCGGATGTGCAAGAAAAACCGTGCATTAATGTCATGCATTAACGATAATATATAAAGTAAAATGATTTTAATTGGACGAAATCAGCGCATAATGCACATAATTTTAATAAGGGTATTTTTGACATTCAACCTTTAAATATAAACGATTTTTTTTTTTGGATTTTCAGTCATACAAAAGTCTAAAAACTAGTTAGGTCATAGATTGAAAAATTCATTGAGTTTTAGTCCTTTATACCTATTTCACTATTTGTAATTTGGGCATGGGGAGTGATGCAATAGTAAAACGATTTTGAATGTTTTATTTAAAAATAAAAATAGTAAATGCACCCAAGTAGCTTCGAACACCTGACGTGAAGCATTGTTAGATTCTAAAAAAATACTAAAGCCATCTAGGCTAATGACCATTTTTGAGAAGTAGCCTGTGCACACCCTCATTATACTGTAAGTCTGCCACTGCTCTTAAGTCTTAACCTTTCTCTTGGCTTAGAAGAAGTGGAACAGATAATGATTGCGGTGTCACTTGTTCCGAAGATATCATTCCGCTTAGAGGTTTTGTTGAGGGCCGCAATATTCTGATCAAAGGGGTTATCAGCCCAAAAGCCTTCCTCAAAAGAACCTGCCAAACACCAAAATAAGATTGTTTACAAGGCAAAACACTTCAATAAAAAATGAATTCTTAAACAATCTGATCCGTCAAATTATCCATAAGAGAGAGACCTTTTCCTGCATCAAAGTTTCCTTCTCTTTAGCAATTGTTTCCTTCTCTTGGTTTAACTTTGAAGCTGTTTGTTCCGCTTATATCAATTATTACCTTGGTTTGATTGACAAATTTAAGCAAGTAAGGTAAACTTCTTTTTACTCTTTCCTACATGGATTATAATACTCACTTAACAAAAGGCATTTAGTCAGTGGACTTCTAGCATAGAGGGAGTGTGTGGTAACCCATTACTCATGGTGATCTTCTAGCATTGTGTTACTACTATATGGCAAATAAGCCCCTAGAGCACTCAGAGTACACAAATGACACTGAAAGATGAAGCATATATAATGATATTGATACAAATCGAGTCTTTCATACCAAATTACTCTTGAAATCTACCCTAGAGATTCTTTGTTAGCAAACGTTTTCACTGTTTTAAATGAGAAAATGCTTTTAAAAACACTAAACCCAATCTGAAAATGCACAGTTCTTGTTAATGTCATTATATTCCATAAACTTTTAATGCTAAAAAGGGTCCTTTGCAAAAATGTAACTAACCCAAGGATTTACTTATAAATTTCAGAAAACATGAGGGTCTTTTTGTAATATTACTAAACCATATGGAAGGTAGATGTTCTTAACCCTAAATATTTTACTGGTTAGTGCGGTAGTTAAGTTACAGTGACCAATTAGTCATTGTACCTCATGGGGTGGAGGAAGATTTTCAACTCCAATCTGCAACTTTTTTTTCAAAGTTGAAGACTTGTCAGGAGAGTCTTCCTTCAGGACACCATTAACTGGCTGCCAAACCAGAGACTCTGGAGGACTGATCAGAAAGATCCTTAGCTTGTTCTCTTGGATGTACTTTCCTTTATCCTTCACGAACTAATGAAAAAGAAACAACAGTAAGAAAACATTATATAGTCTTGGTAACTGAATACTGATTGAGGTAAAAGAATTGTAACATTTCAGAAAGAATATTGCCTTCCATCTTCTCGTGGGGCACAATAGTGCTCTGAATTAAAAATTTATCCTTGCATTGCATATCAGCTGGAGTAGTCCTCTGAGCTTGCATAGTAACTGCATTGTATCAGAACAGTCAGGACAGCTAGTTACTGTCTTACTGATATGTGATAAATAAATAAAAAGCAAGCTGATATGTAGGTATTTGAACAAACTAGATGTATGCTTGGCACAATTAGATGAACATCTAGATTAAAGATGAAACAGTAGACGAAAAATGAGGATTAATGAAGGTAGAAGGAGATGAAAGAAACAGGCATATTTGGGAAAACTAGATGAAAAGACCGAAATAGATTTGAAGGAAAGCTACATCAAGTAACTTTCCATGTATCCTACTTTGAAAAAAAAAATTATCTACCAAACAAACATAGATATGGACAGGTGTCAACCGAGATGTAATGCTATGCGAAACATACACTACATGTGAGTACAGATAGAAATTGGAACTGGGGACAATTTAGTTATCCCTCATAGGTGGCCTCCTAGAATTAAGCATTGAATTCTAAGTAGTACTCCCTTCGCTAAGATTGTCCCATTTTACTTTTTCGGGACGTCCCACTAAGATTGTCTCATACCATATTTGGTAAAGATTGTGTGGCTCTAAATCATTCTAACTTTATTCTTACTTTATCAATTTAATATCAACCACACAAACCTACTTTTCTTAATAATCGTATCACTTTCTCTCGTCCCAATCTTAGTGGGAAGGAGGGAGTACATAGTATTTATTATAAACATAACAGTTAATAATGGTGAATGCAGCGCTAAAAAAATTATATATTCACATATGACAGAGCGCTTGCTCTGAAATATAATGCCAGAGCACTTTCCAGTGGATAAATGTTCTTTACTAGGGATGGATTTAGGGGGGGGGGCGACCGCCCCCCTTGGACATTCAATTTTTTTTACCATATATGTAATATTTTCATAAAACTTTCATAATTTAATTAGATTCGCCCCCCTTAGCTTTTAATTTTCAAAATTAATATATATAGTCTTACATAATGTAATACTTAATTGGAGATTTAAAAGAAGAAACATCTAAAATAATTTACATAACTTAAACAAATAAACAATAGAGTAACTCGTTATTTAAGATTTAGGATACTTATTATAATGTTTAATTATAAACATCTAATGTTTAATTATCTTTATTAGATAACAAGTACTGGATTTCGTAAAACATATATCAAACAATATTAAATACCAAACACACTAATTACACAATTTTTAGATCACGTGAAATGAATCCAAAATATAAATATTTATAGACATTAGATTACATAATTCATTTACTTCTTGCTTTCTAAAAATAATTTATTGCATGGATAATAAACTCTAAATTATTATAGAATTAATAAAAATATTAAAATATAATATGCACCATATATATATATGTGTGTGTGTGTATGTATGTGGTGCATATTATTCTAAAAATAACAATCTCATACATACTAGTATACTACTATTGTATTATTAAGAAAACTTCTCATGAGTCATGACTCACGAACACCCTCCTTGGTGGACAAAAATTACAATTCAATAACCGATTCATGAGGTTAAACAATGTAGAAGTTATTAAAAATGTATTGGTTGATGTCTTTGTCATCGTCTAAACTTAGAATGTAATAGATTTAAATGTCGTTCGGGATGTGCATGTATTAATGTCATTTTTTGAATAAAAATAGCCGCATGGCCCCACAGTAGCGAAAAAATTTCGCCCCGCTATACTAGGGAAAAAAATTTCACCCCGCTACACTAACAAAAAAAAAAATTCACCCCCTACACTAACGAAAAATTTCGCCCCCCTTGACTCAGAATCCTGGATCCGTCCCTGCCTAATTAAGTAATTATACATTCTGTACTCCCTATAAACAGTAGGCATGTATAAGCATAATAGCAGAAAGTTTTCAGACAAAATTCTTCATAATACGCAAAGACAAAAGGATCAACACTTGTACCTATCAAATTAATTGTTGAGTTTGGCTTGATGATGCCTATATTAGGTCTGATACAGTATTTTTTAGGTGGTGTTGTTTTCACCTGCAAAATGAGAGGATTGGCTTTCTCACATGACATATTCAGTTAAGGAGAAAAAGAGAAAAGCATTTTAAGATTTGAATCCATATGTTTCTGCTAAAAAACCGTCAAAGCTGGTGATGAGCATATGGGGATTTTGTGCATTTGATTTAACTAGAAAACTCTAATGAACATGAAAGAAATTTGCTTCACCTTAAATGCTACACATTGAGCTGTGGTGTTGGTTAGAGTAACAGAGCAGGAGCTTTGCTTCCGCAACTCAACTGGAGCAGAAGAAATAGTATTACAAAATTTACAAGCATTAAAATGATAAATACAAATACATTCAACGGAAGCGTAAAATATATGAAAAAATAAAATCAAGACGTAAGGGAATACAAAAAACAAGGACAAAATAGACAAAAATAGAGCGCAAGGCATTCATACTGATGTTATTCTCAAGCCATATAAAAATGCACGATCCAAATGAAAAACTAGAAAAGGAATTCAATTTATGCTTAGGTCTTCGTCCAATGATTAGAAGACGTCTATTGAACTTACATGTGAATTTGAGATCAAGAGGTTGAATAATCACCAAACCCATCATTTCTGTTACCTACGACATCATCTATTCAGCATAAAATTAATTAATGGAAAATTGGAGAAGACGTCATATATTCAGTTGAAAATATTGATTCATTACTCATCCTGTTTACAGAAAACAGATAAGTTTTATTATTACTGATTAATGAAGAAAAAATATACACAAAATATATAGATAAAAATTGTAATAAATAGGATTGCAAAGTGCCACGGAAGAGGCAAGGATTAAATAAATAAAGTAATACAGAGTATACATTACAGAATTAACTAAGAAAGAGGCAGGCATGAAAATAAGCATGAACGTAGATAGCACCTAAATTTATTATATCACATGCAAATGTATTAAATTTAAATATAGATCATATGGGGTAAGCCGTTATATAATTGAAAAGACAAAATTAAATTAGCAGGAGTAGACAGATTACATAAAACATATGAAGTATGTAGACAGTAAGACGTAATCTTACAAAGTAGCGGTTATAACAAAATTAAACACGTAGGAATAAACCAGAGTGCAGAATTATCATATACCAAATAAGGATTGCAGATAGGCAATGTCCAAGTAGTGGAAGTAGTCGCAATAAGTAGGGGTTGAAAAATTAAGATGCAATGCACACGAATAGAAAAGGAAATAAATGCAGAAATCAAAATCACAAATTTATAGTGATTGATATGCGAAATGGTGCAGACAGATTTTCCATGCGAACTGAATCAGAAACATGCATAAAGCAACTATAAATATTAAGGATGTTTTTACTTGGACTGTAATCTGTCCCAGACCAGACTAGGATAAGTATAAAAATACAAAGAAACCAGACCAGACTAGACCAGTTCAGACCAGACCAGACCAGCAAATTACAGTCCAAGTAAAAACATCCTAAAACGGCAGCATGCGATTAAATATAGCCGTAGGTAAAAAAAGAAATTCGTCTTAAGATTGTTATCTACGGCATCACATACTCAGCATGAAAATAATTAATGGAAAAACGGAGAAAGAAAGTCATGCGCAGAAAATCTGAGCTCAATGGTAGCTATGCCTCCTTAAGACGATGTTTGCCAAACTAACATAGCAAATGTTTCCCACGATAGAACGGATTCGTTCCTGGCGACGGGACTCCGGCGAACTCAAAGATGCAAGAATTGTAGGAAGAGTAAACGATGAAGGAGATGATGTTTTTGGACTGCCAGTTTTTGGTGCTCCATGTGCAGAATTCGTAGGTATTTACAGAGTTTCTAGCCAGGAAACTCCCACCCAAAAGACACCTATTGAATGAAAGGTGATAACATTTCATTCAATAGTTGAGAAACATGCCTAGTCGGTCAAGACACCAATCCAAAAACACAACAAAAATTATTCTTTAAGTGAACTGTTTAATACCGGCATTGACCGGTCAAAGACCTGAACCCGACCCAACCAGACGGCCGGCGGTGCGCATGTGAAGAATTAATTCCACACTTACCATATACATGTCTCCCTGCTCAACAAAGCTTTGGAGCCCCAAGGGCCCAACCTAATAGTTAAGGAAAACTAATAAAAAGACACTTCCTTAACTCTCCATTTTAAGTGTGGGACAGATTCTATTCCAAAACTAGTTTTTGGCGTAGTTCGTGGAATAATTTTTCATTCATTTCTAGATGGTTTTGCACCCCTTTAATATATGGTTGCATTCACCGTACGGAGTACTATACGTTAGGAGTTGGTCCTACCACAAACTAGTTGTGGATATCTTATTAATTTTAGCTCAAAGGTGGCCATTATTATATTAAAGTAAAACCATTTTCCAACAACCCCCCACATGAATGGTAATTTGACTTAAAGACAGGAAACATATTGGAATTCTAGAAAGGAATATGGGAACTCGACATAGGGTTAGGTAGTCGTGAAACTTTGAACCTACCTTAGTGTATATCCATCGATTTACTGGACAATTGGTGAATAATTTGCTATGAAACGTCAGCCGTTACGTTAACTTAGACAATGAACAACACACAGAGCCTTGAACACTTCCTAGTTCAACTAGTGTTTTAGAGAGTTTATCATGTACCGTAGAAAGGTAACTAACCCAGAGATTTACTCATAAGTTCAGAAAACACAAGGGTCTTTTTGTAATATTACTAAACCATTGGGAAGGTAGATGTAATTAACCCTAACCATATTCCTGGTTAGCATGGTAGTTAAGTTACAGTGACCAATTAGTCATTGTACCTCATGGGGTGGAGGAAGATTTTCAACTCCAATCTGCAACTTTTCATTCAAAGTTGACGAGTTGTCAGGAAAGTATTCCTTCAGGACTCCATTAACTGGCTGCCAAACCGGAGACTCTGGAGGGCTGATTAGAAGGACCTTTAGCTTGTTCTCATGGATGTACTTTGCTTTATACTTCATGAACTAATGAAAAAGAAACAACAGTAAGAAAAGATTATATAGTCACTGTAACTGAATACTGATTGCGGTATAAGAATTGTACCATTTCAGAAATAATTGTGTCTTCCATCTTCTCATGGGGCACAATAGTGCTCTGAATTAAAAATTTATCATTGCATTGCATATCAGCTGGAGTAGTCCTCTGAGCTTGCATAGTAACTGCATTGCCGCAGAACAGTCAGGACAGATAGTTACTGATATGTGATAATAAATAAAACAAGCTGATATGTAGGTATTTGAACAAACTAGATGTATGCTTGGCACAACTAGATGAACATCTAGATGAAAGATAAAACAGTAGACAAAAATAAAGATTAACGAAGGTAGAAGGAGATGAAACAAACAGGCATATTTGGGAAAACTAGATGAAAAGACCGAAATAGATTTAAAGGAAAGCTACATCAAGTAACTTTCCCTTTATCCTACTTTGGAAAAAAGAGTATTTACCAAACAAGTAAAGATATGGACAGGTGTCAACCGAGATGAAATGCTATGCCAAACATACACTACATGTGAGTGCAGATAGAAATTGGAACTATAAGCAACCTCATAGGTGGTCTCAAGAATTGAGCATTGAACTTTATGTAGTATTTATATAAACATAACAATAGTTAATATTGTTGAATGCGCCGCTAAAAGAACTAGAAACAATTTAGTTATCCCTCATAGGTGGCCTCCTAGAATAGAGCATTGAATTCTATTTATTATAAACATAACAACAGTTAACTGTGGTGAATGCTTCGCTACAAAATTATATATTCAAATGCTTCATATGACAGAACGCTAGTTGGAAATATAACGCCACAACACTTTCTAGTGGAAAATTGTGCTTTATTCCTAATAAAGTAATTATTCATTCGGTACTCCCTAAAAGCAGAAGACATGTATAAGCATAAATGCATAATAGTAGAAAGTTTTCGGATAGAATTCTGCATAGTACTCGAACACAAAAGGATTAGCACTAGTACCTCTTAAATTAATTGTTGAGTTTGGCTTGATGATGCCTATATGAGGTCTGACACAGTATTTTTTTAGGTGTTGTTGTTTTCACCTGCAAAATGAGAGGATTGGCTTTCTCACATGAGATATTCAGTTAAGAAGAAAAGCATTTTAAGATTCGAATCCGTATGTTTCTGCTAGAAAACAGTCAAAGAAGTTGATTGAGCATATGAGGATTTTGAGCTATACGATTTAACTAGAAAACTCTAATGAACATGAATGTAGTCCTCATTGATAGCACATCATTTAGTGAAAAAAGAAATTTGCTTCACCTTAAATGCTACACATTGAACTGTGGTGTTGGTTAGAGTAACAGAACAGGAACTTTGTTTCAGCAACTCAACTGGAGCAAAAGAAATAGTATTAGAAGATTTACAAGCTTTAAAATGAAAGATACAAATACATCCAACGAAAAATATAATCAAGGCATGAAGAAATTAAAGAAAAAAGAGAACAAGATGGACAAAAATAGAGCCCAAGGCATTGATACTGATATTATTCTCAAGCCATATAAAAGTACATGATCCAGAGGAAAAATTACAAAAGGAATTTAAGTAATGCTTAGATTTCCTCCGATGATTAGAAGACGTCTTTTATTGAGTATTTGAGCTTACATGTGAATTTGAGATCAGGAGGTTGAACAATCAGCAAACCCGTCATTTCCTCTCACCTGAAATCAATGTGATGTCAACTCACAACTACTGGCACGCAGAAAATATAATTTGATACTTTTACTTCAAAGGGATTTGTTTGGAAACACTAAAATAGTACAACGCAATGCAGATTCGGCTAAATTCAAACCCCAATTTCACAATTCCAATTGAGTCTTACACCAAACAGCGGTCAGATTCAGCGCAAATCATACCAATAGTAAAAATCACAAGCAGAAAACAACAATTAAACAATGTTCGTCTTACTTTTTACCCGAGCTAATGTGAAATCCGCAAATCAACGTTCAATTATGTTTACGAAACAAGTGCCTCCTCCCTACCAGGAAATACTACATTACTACATAGAAAGACACGTGTAACAACCAAAACGCCAGAAGTCTAGAAAAGTTTCAAATATACCAATACTACTGGCATTGTTCTCAGATACTCAATCGCAAGTCAAAATTCCAGATGTGACAACAGTGATCATCAAGACATAACAATGTAGATTAAAAATTTACTCCTAATACATCAACATTAGTTTTTGTAGGAAACCTATACATACACAAACAGTGTTTATCCGCATATAGCCATATACTTCGTACTACATTATAATCTTACAGAAGATATAGAGAGGAGATTTACTGAAAGTTTGTGGCAAAAAGGTACGATAGGGGAAAAAGTCGAAAACAAAAAGTCTGTAAAGCCTCAACGGTTATGAAGTAAAGTCTGCTCATGATTTCGCGGCAATACGATGCAATCGTCAGGTATGGAGCGTAAAATAAGCTTATCATACTTTGCATTACAAGCGTATAGACGTGGGAGACCAAAAAAACACAGGAAGGCAGAAGAGAATGAAAATAACTCAGCAGTGATTATTTCTTACTGTAACGGAGCCTTCTGTGGAGCTTCAAGTTGTTGGCTGCTGCGTATGTCCTGGTTTGCTACGCCCTCATCAACACTATGATTTAAATTGGCAAGGAGTTCAACGGCTGAAAGGATTTCAAACGGAGAGGGTGAAAATTCTTTGACTCGGATGGTAAGGCGCGAGAGTTTTGGCGCAGAGTTAATAAGGAACGAGAGTTCTCCTGTTTGAAGGAGGAATAGGTAGCACGCCCAACACAAGTTGGAGTACCATTACGAAGAGGGTAGTTTTGGAAGATTCAAATTTCCAAATGAGATACTCCATCCCTATTTGAAAGTTCTCTCACTCCATAATAGTAGTAATGAATATTATAAAAAAGAAAATAAAAATTAGAAAAGCTAAGGGTAATTATGTACTTTTATAAGAAAACGTTGTAAAAAAAATTGTACTTCGTATTAAACTTTTAAATACATCCAAAAAATGAAAAAATTAACAAACTTTTAAAAAAAATAGATAGCGTATTTATTTTAAATACTAATTAAAACATTCTAGTAGTATTTGTGTTGTTTTTATTAGACACATTAATATCTATTTGCTTGATAGAGTAAAACTGGGTTAAAAATGAATGATGTGTCAATCTCTTATTAGTTAACAATTTTTTTAACCCTATTATCAAAACATTTAATCAACTTAAGATAACTCTGTGGCTCACTGGCTCCGACGTACAGAGTAATGTCAAATAAAAAATTAAAATTGATAAAATATTATTTATATGAGGGAGAATGAATTTAAATATCTCAAACTTTGAAAGGGTGTGAGGTAAGTACCTCAAATTTCCACATTTAATATATATACCCAATCTTTATACAGAGTATAAAAATTTAGCGTAGCACCATGATCACATGTTCTTTCCCAAATGTAGTTTTATGATCATATGTGCATTATTTAAATTGTAAAAAAAAGTGCATTATTTAAAATACACAAAATTATGGTAATAAGTACGAAGTACATGATTTAAAACAGCTATGAGGATGCAACTATAATTAATGTGTACCAGATTAATACTATTTATTTCACAAATGATGTTTTAGAATCTCAATGCACTCAAATAAAGCTTAAATTAAATTATTTTAAATTATGTATTTATTACAATAAATTTATATTTGTAAAAAACATATAATCATGGTGCAAAAATTACCGTTTATATAAAGTTCGGGGTATATATATTACATATGCAAGTTTAGGGTATTTTCTCACACCCCTTCAAAGTTTGAGATATTTATATTAGAAAGAATGACTAAAAGGAGATTGCCGAGTCTTCCGTAGACAATTTTGTGAACACTTACCATTTTGGACAAAAAACTAATTAAACCTAGACTAAAATGTCTCAAATGCCCCACTCCTAACCCCTAATTTATATCCCTGCCCCATCGTCATTTACGCACCCGAGGCTACATCCTCATCCTTGCCGGCCAGTTGCGCACAAACATCGTCCTCACCATTCCTCTGAGGCTCTGCATCAATATTTCTTCGATCGACGGCGGCAACTACGATTAGCGACGGCGGCGACTACGATTAGCGGCGGCAGTGGTTATGAAGAGCGGCGTTGCTCGCTCCGCTTCTCCTCTCCTCTTTCATTCTCTTCTTTTCCTTTCTTGTCCACAAACCGTCGTAGTTCGCTCCGCTTCGTTTCTTCTCCGTCTAATGGCTTCTCGAACTTCACCTTCTGCAAGCCGCACCAACTCCTCCAACGGCGGAGACGAGATTCGTAGATCCGGCCAGAAATTACATTCCCTGGCGGCGAGAACCATCCATTTGGTGACCTGCTTCGTCGGATTTAGAAGAGAGGAGTGGCGGAAGGCAGATTCTTCTCGATCTGGACCAGATCTGAAACCGGACAGGGTTGGTTAGGCTAGGTGGCTGGGTCAGATGGTGGCAGTTGCTGGGTCAGTGGTGGTGGCGGGTCACTAGCGGCGGCTGGTCACCGACGGCGGCGGCGTCAGGTTAGCGGCTGCGGCGGAGGGAGACAGTGGTGGTCGGACGTGGTAGTAGCGTTGGTCACTATCGGATTAGGAAACCATAACTGAACGGGTCGGGTAACTGTAACTGGACGGGTGTATAATTGTAACTGAACGGGCTGGATAACTGTAATTGGGGTCGGGGTAAATGTAATTGGATGAGTCGGGTAACTGTAACTGGATAAGTCGGGTGGTCACTGTGACTGACCGTGATCACTGCCCGGTTGGCCAATGGACTATAGTAACGGACTAATTTTTTTTTTCAATATCGGGTTTTGGTCACTATCGGTTTTGGTCACTACAGGATTTTGGTCACTACCGTCACTGTAGCATCAATAAGTGAATTAAGGGGTATAATAGTCACTTAGTTTATTTTTAGTCTCATTTTTGGAAATTTATGAAAAAGTCACTTTTTTTGTCCAAGGATCTTTTTTTTAGTATTAGTGTTGACATAACCCCTTTATATTATTTCCCCGTTTATATTATTTATTCTTCAATTTTTAAATTATTCTCCATGCACCAGCTATCTTCACCAATCTGCTCATATCCAGGTTGTAAGATGAAGAGCTTTCTTCTCCGTTCATCTTCTCCGATTGAAAACCCGCAACAACGAGTTTCCGAAAGTGGGGAGCAACTGTGGCGACCATTGGCTCGCAGCGAGCAACAGAGGCGAGCAGGGGCGAGCAAAGAGGGAGGGAGTAGCAAATCCGATCCAGACATGCTGTCGGAGTAATGAAGCTTGTTGCCCCCCCCCCCCCACACTTCTCTCTCTTTCTCTCTCTTCCCCTCTTCTATTTTTTTGCAAGTCCGATGCTTAGCCGATTTCTTCTTCTTCAGTCGTTGAAATGCCAAATTTACTCAGAAAGTGCCATCAAACTGGCATTCTCACTCTTCAAAAAAAAATGTGTTTACCTTTGAAAAAGCCATTAAAATGGCAACCTCGATCCATGTTGACAATCAGAGAAAATGTTGGCAACAATGGTGGCGGTGCACAGCGATGCAATGGCTCAGGACGTATGTGCAATGCCTGAGATCGAATCTGTAGCGGTGGCCGTTGGATTTGCAGGGGCAATAATCGGCATCGGGAGCCGGCCATATCTACGACTCCGACGACCAGATCTGCAGCGGCAGCGACCAGATATGCAACAATAACCAATTTTGAGGCCGCGATGGTGGCTGGCGAGCGGCGGCAATTAACGAGTGGCAACGATACGGCATTGTATCTGTGTCAGACTGGCAACATGTTACCAAGATTCAAGGGTATCTGTGCCCAAATACAAACAATAACTCTTGTTAAGCGAATTTTTAAACTTTGTCCTATTTGGGCAATTAAGGATTTCTTTACTCCCGTTTGGGGAATCCTCCCTTTGTTTTATTCTAATTTAAAAGGAGTCATATTTTTTTTTATCTATTATTCCCTTCGTATTATTATAATTGTCTCATTTTTTCATACCATATTTGGTAATATTTATGTGTCCGTAATTCATTCTTTAATTTATTCATACTTTACCGATTCACTATCAATCATACAACTCAACTTTTCTTAAAAACCGCGCCACTCTTTTTGTCCCATCCTAATGGGACGGAGGAAGTACAAAAGTAACAAAACTATTTTTTTTGGAAGGAATAGACTTAAATTGACAACACATTATTCAGATAGAAGGTAAAACCGACAAAAAGATTTTTGACAACCGCCGACCCTCGAATCAGACTCAGAGTTTATCACCTCAGAAGAAACAATATAACTCACTGATCCATTAATGGGCGCAATTGAGCCAAATACGGTTACCACAATCCTTCTATCACCCACGTCCAAATCCACAATCTTACAGCAGGATAAAATGAAAAACCAAAAGTAAACAATAAACTTCAGACAATCAAAATAAATAAAAGCAAAAAACAAATCTTCTATCCCATCTTCCCCATCACCACCAATGACAGTGGTTCAGGAAGGGGACGATCCTCAACTGACCCGTCCTCGAATTCGGTTTCATCCAGATCCAATTCTTCAACTTCCTTTCCAATGGCTCTTTTCTTGTACTGATCCACGATCTTTACCATGTAGTCTCGATTTCCTTTTGTCCAAAACTGATCGGGCCTCCCGGCAAAAAACCCTAACGCCGCCTGCTTTCTCGCTGTCGCCCCGTCTCACGCCGCTTCCTTACTGCCGACAAAGACAAACCGGCCTTCATGCTAAGCTCCTCAACCCTTATCTCCTTCCACAGGCTCAAGAACAAAAAAGAAAAGCTGAATATTGGGCACCGCTAGCAAAGCTCATAGCAGACGAAGGACTCTAGCGGTTCACTAAACCCCAGGGAGAGAAAAAATTCGGTAGTTCTAAATTGGCGAAGACAATTTATAATAAAAGTAATGATAAAATTTAAAAGTAACAAAACTAGGCCAAACTATTAGCACTCCGTAATATTGTAGTCATTTTTTCTAGTTTACAATAGCTAAAAAATGCAAAAATCTATTTACATTTGCGGTATTGGTACGCTAAAATTGACTGAATCGGTTCAATAGCTGAAATTGACTGAATCGGTTCAGTCTGCTGAAATTTATAAAATTCTAGGTGAAGTAGTTGAATTGGTTGAATATGCTGAATTGTGGAAAATATATGTTTCAAATATATTGTATTAATCAAATTAAGAAAAATTACGTGAAAGAATAGCTCAAAATTTCCTCTATGAGAGCTTCAGTCAATTTAACAAAAAAAAGTAATGTCTATCTTATTTATTTTGATTATTATACAATTAAACGTGCAAGACAAAAAAATATATGTTATCAATAGGGCTCTAAGTATATAATATATGATATATGGATAGTTTAATAATCATTTAACAAATAGGAATTCATAATTAGTTGTGGTTACTTCATAATAAAGTTCATTATAATTAACTTTCTATTTTATAAATAATTCATAGTATCTATTAGTATTTTTTATTTCAACCAATACCAAATAGACGTGCTGCCGCTGCCGGGGCATGCCCCGGGTTTTACACTAGTTTATAGTAAAAGTAATAATAAAATTTAAAAGTAACAAAACTATTAGCACTCCGTAATATTGTAGCATTTTTTGTAGTTTACAATAGCTAAAAAATGCAAAAATCTATTTACATTTGCGGTATTGGTACGCTATTTTACGCAAATGCCCATGTTTCTAGTACTAGAATTGATCAAGTTTTTTTTTATAAAATCAGTTTAGTTGTGCAAAACCTGTCCGTTGTCATCAGATTAATTGGAATTCACTCATGGGAATCGACACCATTTTAACGAATTGTACATTTGTACCTGCTTATTTGTGCAAAAGAATGTAAAATCAACCAAACGTTTGGTACCGACTATTGAAGGGATTTGAATTAAACTTGTGTAATTAAAATTTGTTAAGACTTCAGCGTTAAAATCGAGGAGAAATTATGTTTGTATATGTTTTTATACACTTTTATGGACATTCATATTTTGTCTAAGGATAACACCCATCAATCCATCTTAAAATACAAAAAGAAAAAGATAAAACCCATCCGTGAGGCTCCATTGCTCCAACATCGATCGCTCAAGTAACTGAAGTATTTTGTAAATTAAGATTTAATAACTAACATATAGATATCGAATAAAAGTCCGACCTAAATACTTACAACGATCCGATACTTTTTTACATGTCTTTGTGTCATCTTATTATACTAGCGTGTGTACCCGTGCACTGCACGGTAAAATACGTGTTTAAAGTTTTTATTACTCGTAAAATTATGGGGAAAATGAATCGAAGGTGAATTCGTAAACCAGAGTTTAATTAAAAGAAAATTCAATCGACTATGAATAGAGTTTTCAAATTAAACTGAGTGGAAGTCTTTAGGGCTAGCGCATTTCATCTCATTTCACAATGGCTTGGAGTCGTCATTTTTTAACCTGATTAACTTACTGATTTCGTGGGTCAACTTGCATGGGTTGCAGGTTAAGTTGGTTGGCCCATGCAAGTGCGACAAAAAGTGTCACAGATACAATAGTCGGGGGACCCGAGGTGACTAAGACTCCTGTTTTCAAATACACTTATTATTTTACAACTTTTGTTGAACTATTGTTTCTATGATAATTATTCAAATGAGTACTCTTGTGACATTTATTTTACTTTTTAAGAGTTTTTGCCCACACTCTTTTCCGATACAAATTCCATTAAAAGTCGTAGTGACGTTCATTTCAAGATATTTGATACTCCGTATATTACTATTTATTATATTACACTAACATATACGAAGTACGAAGTATGTAGTACTATAATACGAAGTATAAATTTTGATATAATTAGCATATTAAAATACATTTTGGATATGCAATAGCTAATTTTTCTCTAATGCTTATTCTCGTTTAGAAAATCTTAATAAGGGATATGTCAATTCTCATCTTTAAGGATATCTTATTCTCTCATTAAAAATAACACTTCATACGTAGTACTACATATAATAATACTCCGTAAATGATTTCTCTAACTGCATATAAGGTATTTAGAGAATAAAAATTGTAATGAATCAGGGGTTCAGTACTCTTAGTAAATTGGGATTGAAATAACTTTGTTGTTTGATTCATCAAAATCATGTCTACAGAATTTAAATGGAATCAACTGGAACATTTGGAGAGTGTTATTATCTTTACTTTGACAATCAATGTATTTATTTGATGATAAAAAAAATCAATGTATTTATTTATAGTGTTGCAGCAGATAAGTAGATTGGTACAACAGCCATTCCCATGAGTGCTATAAAAAGTGGGATAAATTCAGCAAGTTAAAAGGAAATATGACCAAAAGTATTGATTTGAGGTTACCGTGCCTAGTGGGAGGTCTCGAGTTTGAAACCCGCTACGCACGTAAGAGTTCAAAACTCAATGCATTGAGTTTTAGCCCCCTCCCCCATACCCCGGAGTAAAAATGTTATATATACATATGACGAAAAGTACTGAAAAAAGTCTAATGGTGGTCATGTATATATTTATAAGGGGACATTCAACATGGTATGTTAAATGACATTTTCTTTTCATCTTTTAATTAAATGCTTATAATTGTTGTATAGCATGTACATGTTTTAAGAGGACCAAAAAGGTTTTCTTTAGGTTTGTATACATGAAATTTTGGAAGAGGAAGAGGTTCTCCATTCATTTTCTTTTAATAAATGCATATAAATGTAGTGTACATATTTTGTGCTATGTGCACGTCTTTGTCTAGCTACTACATATAGTATATCATAAGAAACATGGAGTAAAAATAAAAATGGGGTTGCCACTTGGCAAATTTTCCAATGAAGAGTCTTGCCACATGTCAATAAGTCCTCCAAAGAGTTCTTCAAGGGTTTGCTTTATTATATTATATAGATTGCACGAAAACATTAAAACCATGAGGAGACGTGAAGCGAGAAGCATCAAATTTCATTCGAAAAAAACTATTTGAAAAGTTTCTAAAGAATTTTCGTGTAATATCTTAATAAAAAGAGAGAATTCCCTAAATAGGAGTAAACACGTTTTGAAATTTCAAAATAGGAGTATCATATTTGTATTTCCTAAATAGGAGTAAATTTCTGCCAGGCATTATAAAGGCTTTTTAACATGACATTTTCTTCCAAACTTGATAGATTACTCCTATTCAGGGAATAAACAACATGATACTCAGTGGCGGAGGCAGAAATTTATGGTTGAGGGGGTCGGTCCTTAAAAATTTTACATTGCAGGGGCCAAAGTTTAAAATATCAACATATTTTCTATAGATTAAACGTATTTATAAATAATGTATACTTAAGAATTTTTTTCTTGCAGGGGCCGAGGCCCCCTCTAGCCCCTCCCTGGCTCCACCTCTGATGATACTCCTACTTTAGAATTTCAAAACATTTTTACAACCATTTGTGTAAAAAAAAATGCACTATTTCCGAGTTCGGTCGTAGATAGGTGTCGTCTCACAATTGAAAGCTCAGTGAGCTGGCAACCAAACAAGTGGAATAAGCTTCGATGGTATCGAAGCCCGACCTGTCAGTACCCCGAGCCCCTTCAAACCTAATTACCTGACCGCTTTCTCTTAAAATGAAATTTAAAAAAGGAAGAAAATAAAGCCCTATAAAGAGCCAAGGGCTTCCTTTTCGGCAACTATACACCTAACTCTCCCTCTCTATCTCTTCACAGCAAGCACACTCCTCGTGCTCTCCGCCATCTCCAGACGTCTCAGATCCGTTCTCCTTCCACCGATCCATCAATGGCTTCTGTTACTGGATCATCGGTTTCCCTCGCCTCCTCCTTCAAGCAAATCCAGGTTCATTTCTTTTGTTCGAATTTATTAGATGCGGAAGTGATCCCGTGCGATGATTTGCCCTTTTATGTCTGTTTTCATTCGCGTTTGTATTTGTGGAGGAAATTGATTTCATTCGGGTTAATCCCCGACGGAATTCGGAGTTCCGACTCAGCATATGCTTCCACGATTACGTTTGGTTATTATTTTATGGGATTTGGCATGCGATTATGAGAAGCTGCTTTTATACATCCAAATTGGTTTGTATCGGTGCTTTATTGTGAGAATACCTTATCGATCCAGATTTGTTTTTATTACATGTAAGCAGGGGATTAGCAGGGCATCGAATGTAAAGGCCCTTTCTTTTTCCTTCAACGGGAAGAACTACCCATCTCTCCGAGTTCAGCCAAGTTCTCGACGACTTGTTGTGACTTCTGCGGTATGTCAGGCTCCTATATTAATTCCTATCTTGGATTACTGGTCTACATTGGTTTATTACGGAGTATCTTATTGAAGTGGCTTTGTTATTGATAAAATGTTTGTTTTTATCTCTAATAAGTTCTACTTTTAGCCTATGGTACTTCTTATTTGGTAATTGTACTTTATTGTGATGAAGATTTCAATTTTCCATTTTTTCTTCTCTACTAGGCTACACCTGACACTGTTGACAAAGTGTGTAAAATTGTGAAGAAGCAATTGGCTCTTGCCCCCGAAACCGAAGTCACCGGAGAGTCAAAGTTTGCTAGTCTTGGTGCTGATTCTCTTGACACTGTATGTGCACATTAATTTGGTGTTTCTATTCTTCTTTTTTGTCCAATGTGATTGTTTAAAATGGTATTAGTATGATATACATCCATGAAGTGCATTTTTATTCATGTTACTTATTTGGGTGTTGTTTATAGGTATGTCATTTTCTTTAGTTTTACCTAATTGGAAGGGTTTTTGTTGTTGCTGGGGAACGATAGCAGTACAAACCTGCAAATTAAAAGGCATAGTTTTTAGTCATCTTGATTGAATATTAAAGCTCTACTTCAAACTCTATTTTTCATTCTGTTTTAGTCATTCGTTTCAGATTGACTTTGTCACTTTGTGACATCAAATTTTCTTCATAGTAAGTTTGATTGATCCATTTTCCCCTCATCTTAAAATTTAATTATGATACTGATTTCAAGAATATGCTCTGTTACCATCACAAGCACTCTTTTGTCAAACACACTCTAATAAGGTAAAAAATGGCTTATCTAGTTGATCATCTTTACTGCCTTTTGGTTCTCTCTTACATTTCCTATTTTCTGGTGATGTTTCCAAATCCCTCATCATATGTGCCCTTCGATCTTCTTGCACTTCTTATTTTCTGAAGCTGTTCCATTTCTGTCATCATTTGTGTTTCAGGTGGAGATTGTGATGGGGCTTGAGGAGGAGTTTGGAATCACAGTGGAAGAAGAAAGTGCTCAGAGTATTGCTACCGTTCAAGATGCTGCAGATCTGATTGAGAATCTGATAGCCAAGAAAGCTTAAATGTTACCCCAATTTTCCAGATTTGGCGGACTCTAGTTTATTAGGGAGACATCACCATAAGTCTTTCTCTTAGTATGTTTGTGGTTCATTAAAACCTTGTTGTATTTCGCTGTTTTTTTATATTTAATTTGATGATATGTCATATTTCGGATATTTGTCACCTGAACTGTAATCAAAGCATAAATCCTAAAGATTTCATCTTCTTTTTGTTCTAATCGAGTCATACTAATTAACTATTAAATATGTATTAATATATGAGTTTGTATTCAAAAGTACTATTGAAGTGAAAGTTATTTTCAAAAATATGATTAATGGTTGGTATAGTATAATTTTAGTAAACATGAAAAGGTCATGCATATTTGAAACGAAAACTGTAATTGCTTAATTGTATTGGATTTTATCGTATGCCCAGGGTACATATACGTAGTACTCCGTATTATGCATCAATTTCAGATATATCACTTGCTAATTTATATTACCTCCCAGGCTCCCACCTTTTGAAGTTAGTCATAGTTGACTTTTAGAGTTATAGATAGATAGATAATCAACTTTGATCACATTTTTAATTAATACGGAGTATATTTTGGTGAAATTTAATAATTTTATATTTTGATGATAGCTATTGTAGTAAGGAATATTTCATATTTAATAAGTAGGACTGTAGGATATGCAAAAAAAAGTAGGACTGTAGGAGTAACTAATTTGCAATTAAACAAGTATTGAATTTTATTGTAGCCTTAACGATTTGCAATTAAACAAGTATCATGAATTTTATTGGGGTGAAACGCCAATATAACCAAATAAAATAGGCTCCGCAACCCTCCGTTAAGCACATAGCCACCATTTACACATGGAGATAACTGATACTCATGAAAATTGACATGTGTGGCGTGACATTTGGATGAAGATGGTTATGCATATACACCCAATTTTCTCATTATATTGTATGCATACAGTATTATAATGATTTTAAGTGTTCTAACGTTTGAGATTACAACCACCTCGGAGGAGATAGTGTTGGCGATTGAACGAGGTGTGGCTTAGAGGTTGTATCGAGCCTAGATCGTAAAGCCTTGGTCGGCCATTCCGACAGTGGCGGAGTTGGTATTCACCCATATTGCAAGAGCTCATCCTCCTTTGGAACCACCTCCATACCAGGAAGAGTTTTGTAGAAAGATTTTATTGCAGTATTATTTTCTCTTTAGTTGCAATTGTTTCTGTTTTAGTCTGAGTAGATTTGGTTTGAATGTTTGAATTTTCGAAATTCTTTTGATAGATAGGGTTTCAGTTCCGGTCGTTTTAGGCCTAAATTTGTCCGTTTCAGGTTTAGCGAGTCATGTAGCTTTGTATGAGGATGCTGACTCTAAGTCTACTCCTAGGGTTCATAATTGGATCTGTGATTTTTGTCTGAAGATTGTCTTGTATGTGTTCTCGAGATTTTAATATAACGACTGTTCTTTTATGAAAGTAAATAAGATATGTCTAATATTGTGTTCAAAGTGATTATAAGATTCTATCCAATACATAAATAAGGGAAAAATAATTAAAATATCCCAAACTTTGAAAGGGTGTGACATAAACACCCCAAACTTTCATAAGCAATTAAAATACCCCAAATTTTATATAAATAGTTATTTTAGCACCATGATCATGTATTATTTATTTAAAAAATGTAAATTTGTTGTGTTAATTGCATAATTTAAAATAGCAAATTGAAAACGTTGCAATTATATATAGAGTGGGGGATAACACTATTTATTTACAATTAAAGTTTAGAATGTTAATTGTATCTACATCAATACTAAAACATTTTAAATTATGAAATTAACACAAAAAGTTACTCCGTAACATTTTTGAAATAAATAATACATGATCATGGTGCTAAAATTATTTTTTATATAAAGTTTGGGATATTTAAATATATATGCAAGTTTGGGGTGTTTACCTCACACCCCTTCAAAGTTTGGGGTATTTTATTTATTATTCCCCATAAATAATGATTACAATTTTTTTTAATACAAAACCACCCTAGTTAAATTAAAGCAAATCATTTACTATCGTATAATTTAATCCACCAAGCAGAGATGAAAATGGAGCGGGTTAGGGACAATTATGCATATAACGTATTTGCTCCGTGTGATAATTTTCCTATGCCATAACTGTTTCGTTACGAAAAAAGTAGTTTTTATCTGACTACTAGATACAGGTATAATCATGGGCGTTTATTCAAATGAGCACATTTGAGATAAAAGTGAATATTTAAAAAGGCAAAAAATAACATTATCTAAATGACTCTAGAAGTAAGACATCACTTAAAAACTTCATGCACCCACAATGAGGGAGAAGGAGAGGGATCCAAACTAATTCAACCATCAAAATACTTGAGCAAAAATACTTGTTAAATAAGAAAAATGTGATAACAACCAAATGACACTCTTAAACCGTATTAAATTATCTGAATAGAGAAAAATGTGGGTTTTTAAAGAAGATCTTTTTTATACAATGTAATGAGAACATCCATACACAATCAAATAGAGAAAAATCTCATCTTTTTTAAGCGGTGTATAAATAATTGGAAGAAATGAAAACAAAATTTAATTAAAAATAGATGATGTGGGTAAAAGGCTGATAATAGGGTGGATAAAAGACAAGTAATTGGGTGGGTATGTGTAAAACGTGATCGTCCGTCACCCATAAAAAAAGTTATTCTCCATCGATATTGATTACCTAGTCAATGCAATTTTCTCTATTTGAGTGAGGCGAGTGAGGTATACAATCATATCGATAACAATTGACCTCTCTACACAACGAACCATTTTATTAAAAAGTTAATTATACCGACTTAGCGAGTTTGACAATATAAGTTTTAAAAATTAGCCGAACCTTTTGTTTTACTAAATTGTCAAATGGTAATTTTTTGAAATTATTACTTCTAACACCACTAAAAGACCCTTATTTTATGGCTCAAATGATGTATGTTAGGGTTGGTTTGCAATCGCTTTTAAAAAAGCACTTCTCAGCTTTTGACTTTAAAAAAGCACTTATTTTTCCAAACACTACAACTTTTATTTTTCTCGATTTCCGCGTCAAAAGTGCTTTTACTTTTTTTATTACACAAAAAGCACATATTTTACCAAACACTACCCACTTTTACTTTTCAAAATCACTTTTTTCTCAAACACTATCAACTTTTATTTAGGCTTTGTTTGCAACCACTTCTGCTTAAATAAAAGCACTTTTGGGGAAAAAGTGATTAGTAGTAAAAGTTGGTAGTGTTTGGTAAAATAAGTGCTTTTTGTGTAATAGAAAAAGTAAAAAGTAGATTCTACATGGAAGCCGAGAAAGTAAAAGTTGGTAGTGTTTGGTAAAATAAGTGCTTTTTTCTTTAAAAAAAGTTAAAAGCACTTTTTTTAATGGGTTGCAAACAGACCCTTAATCACTTCTCTCCATTTCATTAAAAAAGCACTTTTTTAAAAGTTGCAAACACACCCTTAATAATGTTATCATGTTTTGCTATTCTAAGTTACTGTTATTATTGAATAAATGTCTTTATGAGCAACCCATACTTCCCATATCTTCAATCACAAGTATATTAAGTTTTTCTTTTGACCATTCTTTTCTCACCACGTCCTTGTGTCAGGAAAACAATCTTTGCGGAGGGATAGTGGTGGAACCAGTATACTTCAACTGTTAAACATCTCTTGCTTCTGGATAGATGTCTGCGACAGAGGGCTCCTGGTACTTGGAAAGTATAGGATGCTAAAAAAGACATTGATAGAACCGTGTTTTGAGAACCGCGTGAACAGAAAATGAGAAGAATAGAAAGAGGTCCCTGGAAATCATAGACGAAGCTTTTCGCCTTTACTTAGCCACACTTATTGGTACTTCTTCATTTCTCAGTGATGGGTAAAGAGGGTGCCTAGATTTGTTATGTAAGGGAAGGTGGAGCCTCAAAGGTGCCTTCCCCGTTAGAGGAATTTAGAACTGGTTTAGAGAAGGTTGTCCATAAAGTTTAGATTATACTGGAACTATCCATGTTTGGGATTAACATTAGAAGACACATAGTTTGATTTACTATAAATATAAATACATAAAATCAAGTTCCTATGAAGGTATACATATAGATTCAAGACAGAGTAATTTATTGTTATACTCACAGCATCATAGAAGGGCCTACACACCATAGATACACGGAGTACCCACAGACCTATACACACATGTGATTTGACCAGAAAGTGGTCATACTTTTACTACTACGAATTTCCTGTTTTCTCATTTAGAAAAGACTTGACTTGGTACTGGGCTCCTATTGTATTTATGGAAGTGGAAAATATGTATACACACAATACTAAGCATGGGTAGATTATTGTTATCTTCCTCCACTGATATTGCAATTGCAGTGAGGGTGAGTTGCTTCCTGGTGATGAGTGTGGCTGCTGCTGCAATATCAACATCCACTGCCAGTAAATGCATTGATGGGGAGAGAGAAGTACTCCTCACGTTTAAGCACAACATTCGTGACGAGAATGGCGATCTATGCTCTTGGGGCAACCACAATGATTGCTGCAATTGGGATGGAGTTGGGTGTGATAACGTTACTGGTCATGTCATCAAGATTGATCTTCATGGTATGTATCTGTCCGCGAATGTTATATATACCAGCATTCCATTCATTGATCTTCCCTATTTGAAGTATTTGGATCTTAGTGAAATCAGCAACTTGCTAGCAAACCAGAGCATCTCATCATTGATTGGGAACAAAAACAATAACAACGGTAGTATTATGGCTTCCCTTCAACATCTCAGTCTTCGTCAAACAGGAATTGTTGGCATCATTCCTGAAAATCTTGGAAGCAACATGCCTGCCCTTACACATCTTGATCTCAATGGTAACAGGTTAGAAGGTCATATTCCTGAAGGTCTAGGCAATATGGCCCCCCTTGCATATCTTTCCATTGGAGGAAACTTGTTAGGAGGTCAAATCGCAAAGAGTTTCGGGGAAAACATGACTGCCCTTACACACCTTGATCTCAGCGATAATAGCTTAGAAGGCTCCATTCCTGAAACATTTGGAAATATGGTTAAGTTGACTTCCCTTTACCTGCAAGGGAATCAGTTGGAAGGTCACATTCCTGAAGCTCTAGGGAATATGTCTGCCCTTGAAGAACTTGATCTTGGCATGAATAGACTCGAAGGAGAAATCCCAAAATCCATTTGGAACATATGTACTCTGCGACACCTGAGCATGGAATCCAACCGTCTTAATGGAACCTTAATCATATTGACATTCTGCCCAAATCACTCTTTGGAGCAGTTATATTTAGGCAGCAACCGTATCACAGGGTCATTTCCTGATCTTACCAAGTTCCCGTCTTTGGCCAAATTATCTATTGGAGGTAACCTCCTTGATGGGGTCATTTCTGAACATCACTTTGTTAATCTCTCAAAACTATACCACCTGGATTTATCTTCAAACAATTTCACTTTCAATGTCTCCTCTTCCTGGCTTCCTCCTTTCCGATTGAAAAGGATCGCCCTTAGGTCTTGCAAGTTAGGCCCTGAGTTTCCAAATTGGCTTAGAACTCAAGTCAATTATAGTTGGCTTGACATTTCCAATAGCGAGATCTCAGATTCAATTCCCTCCTGGTTTTTTAATACAAGTATTCAGTTTTCTGGTATTAATGTTTCTCATAACGAAATCAAGGGAAATCTTGGAAATGATGTCCAAGTATCATCCGGGTTTCGAATTGGCAGTGGTATACTAGATATGAGTTTCAATAAATTAGAAGGTGTGATTCCACCATATTTTTTCAACGCGGGACAACTGTACATTTCTCGGAATAAGTTCACTGACCTCAACTCCCTGTGTAACATTAATGCAGCCGCTGGTTTGCAGGTTTTGGATGTCTCATTCAATCACCTTTCAGGAACACTTCTTGATTGTTGGTCTAGTCTAAAAAATCTTGCACTTCTCAACTTGGCCCACAATCACAATCTATCAGGATGTCTTCCAACTTCCATTGGATCTTTGGCTTCCCTTATGGCATTGCATCTTGACCATAACAATTTTACAGGCACTCTACCCTCATCCATGAAAAACTGCTCTCAGTTGGTAGCTTTACATCTGGGACACAATAACTTGTTTGGACGAATACCAGATTGGATAGGTGAAAGCCTAACACAACTTTCAATATTAGTGCTAAGATCCAACCACTTCAATGGAAGTCTACCCACAAGTCTGTGTCATCTCCAATCTCTTCAACTGTTGGACCTGTCCATGAACCACATCTCAGCGAGTCTTCCCAACTGTCTTTCCAATCTCACTGGAATGACTGTAATAGGAGGCAGTAGTGCCACCATTTATTATGTGGTACCAGACATTTTTTATACTTCAAACTCTTCAATGTTAGTAGACATTAGCCATTCTGACAAAATAGATGTTGTATGGAAAGGTATGGTCTCTGAGTTTGGAAGTACGTTAGGACTCGTAAAGAGCATTGATCTATCATCCAACATGTTGCATGGTGATATACCAACTGAAATCACATCGCTTGTTGGGTTGGTTTCTTTGAACTTATCACGAAACAATCTAAGGGGACAGATTCCTTCAAGGATTGGTAACTTGGCGAGCTTAAATACTCTTGATTTGTCTTATAACCATTTGTCTGGTAGCATCCCTCAAAGCCTTGCCCTGATTGATGACATAGGTGTTCTCAATGTGTCCAAAAATAACTTATCTGGCAAAATTCCCAAAGGCACTCAACTTCAGAGCTTTGATGCAAGTGCATACATGGGGAATCTCGGGCTATGTGGAGATCCACTCCCTAACAGTTGTCGTGTAGAAGAACCAACTCATCCTTCTCCACCAGGATTCAATGAAGAAGAAGGGGCTTTTAATGGAGAAGACATGGATAAGCTTATTGGCAGTGAGTTTTATGCAAGCATAGGCGTTGGATACGCGGTTGGATTTTTGGGAGTTATTGGGACAATGCTATTAATCAAGTCCTGTAGGTTTGCAATTTTCGAAGTCCTTAATGATTATTCTAATTGAACTTATGTGGCGGCGGCAATGCACCTGACAAAGTTTCGCAGAACACTTGTTGGTTAACAAGCCAGTGTACTTACCCAATATCTTATATGCCACTTTTTATGGGATTTTATTCACAAATAACGTTCAGTTCATATTAGAAAGCTGAGAAGGGTATCATTTTCAGGCCATTTCAATATTTATGGTTCATTCTCACAAATTCTAGCCGCAGATTTTTTATGTGCTCTCTCTATGTTAGTTTCCCATGTTTCTGTTGTTTTTATCGTGATCAGTGATGTAATTGTTCCGGCTTTGGTACTGATCGCCGTTAGCTCACTGGAGTCAGTTCTAAGTAATCGATTGTGTTTAAAACCTTTTCGCTTCATTTCTATTTATTTAACATGTTATACTTGACACAGTTGTTAATGTTTTTGAAATGATGAAGAAGCCTTTGGCTCTTAATCCTGAAACCCCAAACGCAAGTCAATGTAAGCTTAAGGGGTCACTCTTGAAAGAGGGTTTTGGTGGGATAAGTCTATTGGGATTTTAGAAACATTTATTTGGCAATTACCAAGTCTCAGTGCCAACTCTTTTTATTTTTAGTGTATTGTATTCTTTATTTTGTTATATTATGTGTTATGGCACTAAACTGTCATGATATGCATCCTGAAAATGAAGAACATGGCTTTCCATGTTACTGAATAAATTTAACTTTAAAAAAAATTGGCATAAAGCCATAAATATTACGTATACACTTTAAGACAAAATATGACTAGTTTTGTTTTATCTAAAAATGTGACCAATTTTTAATTTAAATTTTCTCGTACTTTAATCACCATATTACTACATTTTTAAGTGCGAAAAAACTCACATCAGTTTTTGGCGCCGTTGCCGCGGACGGTGTTGGATTTGAGGAATAATTAGAATCAACGACTTGCATTTTAGTTTTTCGTGGGATTTTTGTCAGCTAACCTTGCAGGTCAGATCTGTTTATGCATACCTGTTCAAACTGGGGAGAACCACTAGTTCCTCTTAATCCTGAGATTGAGCAGCTATGATTAGGAGGGATCTACAGAAGAATCTTAAAGATCCAGGTTCTTTTACTATTCCTTGCTTTATAGGAGATCTTACTTTTGATAGGGCCTTAGTTGATTTGGGTGCAAGCATTAATTTGATGCCGTCTGATTTGTATGAGAAGCTTGCACTCGATCCACTTAAATCAACACGTATGTGAATTCAGCTGGCTGACCATTCAGTCAAATATCCCTTAGAGATTGATGATGACGTGTTGGTTAAAGTGGACAAATTTCTTATTCATGTAGACTTTGTTATTTTTGACATGGATCAGGATCGTGAGGTACCATTGATTTTGGGCAGATCATTCTTGACAACTGCCCGAACACTAATTAATGTTGGAGACAGTAAGCTTGTCCTCCGCGTTGGGGATGAGACTGTCGTCTTTGATATGTCCAAAATAATGAAGAGGCCCTATCAGGATAGTGGAAAGTGTTTTTACATGGACGTGGTGGGCTCTTTGGTGGAGGATTACATTCCTAACATGCTTTCTGATGAAGCCTTTTTTATCTTCTTTTGGATGAGAGTGTGTCAGCAGAAGATCTTGAGCACCTCCCTAATTTTGATTGTCTGATGATTAGTGGAGAGGAGGACTCATGTGATGCTAGTTTTGTGCAAGGGAAGGAAGATGATTTAGATGAGGTGGAGGAGAAAAATTTTCAGACTGATTCAGTGATTCTTCTTATACTACTCCTACTCCATTGAATCTAAAGTCTCTTCCCTCTCATTGTGAGTATGCTTTTCTTAATGATATTCCTGACCCCCTGTTATTCTTGTATCCGAGCTTGAGCCATCCCAAAAATAGCATGTTTTAATTTACTTAGTGAACAAAGGGAAGCTCTAGCCCGGAAACTTTCTGATAGAAAAGGAATTGGTCGCTCTTTCTGCACCCATAAAATTTTGATGGAAGTATCGTCCTGTCAGTCCGTAAATGAGTGTTATTTTCTAGACATCATGGAACCATGTGCAGATGAGGGAGGGGAACCTCCACCTCTTAAAGAGACTAATTTTGACCCATTCTTTGATAAAGGGCCTGATAAAGGACTTGACCCACTTTTATGCTTTAATCATGAACCTGAGATGAGCAACCGCTTTCATGAATTTAAGGTCTTACGCCATCTCATGACGTTTGTTGATAGGAGATTTGATATGTGGAGGTCGAATTTTCTGAGTGAGAGTGTCTTTAATTGAGTTTTTGATGAGGTAGTTGCCCAACGTTAAAAATAACGCTTCTTGGAAGGAAACTCAAGCTTATTTCTGCACTTTTGTTTTTGTTTGTTTGCTTTCAGAAAATCCCCCCCGAAAATTTTTTTAGGGGTGTTTTCTGTGTTTATTTTTGTGTTTGTGTGTCTTTTTTTGCAGCTCAGGGTTTTGCTTTGGGATGATGTGCCGAGGTTTACGTTGACTCAGTTTAGTTCTGCACTGACCAGTGCCTTAGGAAAGTTTCTGCGACTCTTATAATCGCCTATTTGTAAATGTTGACTTGAGTTGAGTTGAGCACGTATGACCCTTTCCTCTTTACCCCCCTTTGTGCATAGTGCATTTTTTTTGTCATCGAGGGCGATGCCAAAATTTAAGTGTGGGAGAGTGAATTGGGTAGTCGGGCAATAGTTGTTACATGTAATTATTAGAGTTAACATGCGCAGCTGTTAGTCGTATATTCATAGGAAAGTCACGTAAAAATTTTTGAAAATTTTTCTTTAAAGTGTTGTCTTTGTGAGCATTTTGACTATGATTTTAGGACATCCTTGAAGTGTTTGGGCTTAAATTATTTGTACAGTAATCTAGTTGTTGAGAGGATGAAGACATTAGTCATCTATTGAATCATTTCATAAATCATCCACCCACCCGAATAAGTCCTTTAGGAGAAGCCACTTTGAGTGTGACCATTTTATTCTTTTCCCAAATAATTGAGCTTCATAGCCAAATGGTCTGTGTTCCTTACCCGTGAATATTTCTGACAAAATCTTGGTGTTTAGGGAACTAGGGGATTAATTTGCCAAGTTTAGGGGATTTTTGTAGGAGTCGTTTGTGGCACAATTCCTATGCCCCAAATGGGGTAAGAGCAGTCACTTTTTAGGAATTTGATACTTTTGAGGATTGCATTGTAGGCATGAATTCACCTGTTTAACTGAACTCTAATTGCTATTTTTCCTTGGTGAGGCCGAGATTAGAATGAGGTAATGTCCAGTAAAAATTGAAAATTGAAAAATAATTAATATTAGCTAGATCTCTTACATTGCGAAAAAGGGAATGAGAACCCCGATCAAAAAGCGTAAGTGTTCGCACAATAAGATGAGACTTGAGTATCTTTCAAAAGAAATGGCGTCCTCGTGCCAACATGACAAGAAAAACTGAACCTAAATAAATGAACTTGGAGGCTATTGCAAAATAAGATTTAGTCCTTCGCGTACTTCAAATGTACGTCAAAGCACAAATGTCCCGCGGCAGTTTAGCTTAGTTGTACACCTTTTTTTTTACTCTGAAAGGTCAACCACCAAAATCAATAGAGTAAATGTCGGGAGCTTAATTGTACACCATGTCTAGTCTTTGCATAGACGGATGTCTCATTGGTCGACTGTTGGGGTGTGTGGATTGGGAGAGTGCCCTTTTGTCCTAGATGCACACTTTGTTCGATCGTTCCTTTTGTTGAAATGACGCTCACCTTTGGGCCTTTGGCTCTCTAATTGATTAGGTTTCTCTTTTTTGGACAGGATCTCATACGTTAGCAAGTGAGTCAATCTCCGCAACTTGCTTTTCCACATCCGGGGATGTGGAAAATAATAGGGGTTGAGTTCGTAGGGGTTTAAACGTCTGGTCACTATGTATTTTATAACTACGGAAGTCAAGTACAATAACCTTACTTTTTCTTAGAAAGGTCACCAAACGGGCTTTTAGTAAGTATAGTAAATATCAATGAATAAAAGCCAGTTCAGTTCGGTTGGAACCGATTTTAAACTTCAAAAAACCTTCTTAGAACCAATTTATGTCTGGGTCCCAACTTTCGAGTGCCGTTCAAGTCGGTTTGATTTTGGTTTGATTTTTTGTTGTTGTTCAGTTTAGTATTTTTCAGTTCAGTTTTTGATTTTTCGATTTGGAATACCAACCTTAAATAGAAGCAGCCTATATATGATCCTTTTGGAGTCCAGACTATTTCTCTCTTATTGGTTTAAATGAGCCCAGCCAAACCCACTAATACTTACTGTTTAAACCGACCCAATTGAAAAAATCTAACCTATACCGTTTATAACATTCCTATCAGCCGTTTAAATTCCATCTCCCGCTACCGTGTATAACCTCTCCCGCTGTGGCTTTAGATGTTTTTACTTGGACTGTAATTTGCTGGTCTGGTATGGTCTGATTTCTTTGTATTCTTATAACTATCCAAATCTGTTCTGGTCTGATATGTCTGATCTAGTCTGGTCTGGAATAAATTATAGTCCAAGTAAAAACATCCTTTGTTCCTGTTAGCCGGATTTCTTCTGAATCCTTCTTTACAATCTATCTATTGTTGTTGATTATTGTCCTCTTACCTCACAATTTCAATGGTTGATTAATCTCGGTACCGTTATTTATTGTTGAACCGACACCGACCATTCGAATGTTGAGAGTGGAAGACAGTACGGATTGGGTTAGTAGGGGTTCGAAATGGTAGGCCTTCACGGCCATGGTGTGTATAAGTATTGAGTTAATAGGGATTCAAGATAGTAGGGGTTGAGTTATTGCCTTAGTGGAGTTCAAAATAGTAGAGATTGAGTTAGTGGGGAGTTGAAAGCGTTTTAGGCTTATTTAGTATTCCCTCTGTCCCTTTTTAAATGTTCCGTTTTACCATATTGGAATGTCCCTATTTAATTGTCACCTACCTTATTTGGTAAAGTTTGTGTGCCACAAAATCATTTTTACTTTATTCTTACTTTATCAATTATCAACCATACAAACTTACTTTTCTTAAAACTTGTGTCACCCTCTTCCAGGATATTTAAAAGGGGACGGAGGGAGCGGGTGTTTGTTACAAAAAAAAGGGAATTTTTCACGTATAGACAAAAGAACCAAAATAATATCAGTTTTGTAACTCTTCAATTTTCTTTTCAAAAATAGACTTTCCAAACTTTTTCTTTTCACAAATAGGCATATATAGTAACGTCACTGGACCGTTACGCAACTACGTACAAATAGGCTTTATGTATAGTATAGTATCGCCACTGGACCGTTACGCAACTCCATAGAAACGTAGGTTGATTCAAAAAATGGAAGAATAGTCAACTGTGCTACATTAACAAACAAAGACATTATTATC